TTTTTTCCAGTTGTTCTATCCATCAGCGTAGGCAGGCTCTCAGAATTGCTAACTAGGGGTGTGGATTTGTCTATTTCTTCTTTCAGTTCTTCCCATCTTTTCTTCAAGTATTTTGATATATTCTTAGATACATTATATATTTATAATGGCTTAGTCCTTGTGAATTACCTTTCTAATAGTCATAAAATATGTCTTCATAGTTTTCATAATATGGCATCTCTGAAAGTCTACAATAACTTATTGAAATGTAGCTAATTAATTTAAAACACTTGATTATTTTCATGTGATAAAGCAATTCCTAATCAATTTCATGTAATGTGTCCTCAAATTATTCTCTATCAATTAATAGCAAATATAAAGTAAAAGAGAGCTAGATAGACAACTTATTCACCCATGTCACAAATCTTGAAACTTAAAAGAAAGGATTTTCTGTGATTTACTGAGAGAAAATATGTTAAATTAAGTAAAATGAAACAGTATACTTTGGAATCTATGGTATACAGCAAAAACAAAGATATGTATAGATTGAAACTTGCTTTACAAAATAGAGGAGCTCAAGTAATAGGTAGTACAGTCTAGCATCCAGAAAAGAGCATAGATCCAAAGAACATGAAGGAAAGAAAAACAAAAAGTAAATTGTCAATTTTTAGAATAAGCTAAAAAATATAAATGTATGATTAGCAAAATATTCAATTTATAGGGAAATGTAGTGTATAGACCAACTTTTGTAAGATTTTTAGCAAGTACAAATTAAGGTTATTAGAAGAAAAGTGTTTAAACTTTAGACATGAAAGAAAATAAATTCTTGAAAATGCATTGATAAAAATGTCAAAATAGTTGAAACAGAAATAAGAGAAATATTTTTGATGAAATATAAAATACTCCAGGTCTTCCCTGGTGGCTCAGATGGTAAAGCATCCACCTGAGTTGCGGGAGACCTCGGTTCAATTCCTGTGTTGGGAAGATCCACTGGAGGAGGGCATGGCAACCCACTCCAGTGTTCTTGCCTGGAGAATTCACCTGGACAGAGGAGCCTGGCAGATTATAGTCCATGGGGTCATTAAGAGCCAGACATGACTGAGCGACTAAGCACAACCCAGCACACAAAATACTCCTATTGACTGAGGAAACCTGATGATATTACTAATGATGAATAAAGTGATTCAGTCAAATACTTCCCCGAATTTAATACAAAATGTTGGGTCATTAAAAGGATTTATGAGTTTCCAGCCTATACTTGCATAGTGCTTCTAATGAAATAGAAGTGAAGTATGACAGGAGAAAGCAAATCCAAGGAGTCATCAGTTCAGTTCAGTCGCTCAGTCATGTCCGATTCTTTGCCACCCCATGAACCGCAGCATGCCAGGCCTCCCTGTCCATCACAAACTCCTGGAGTTTACTCAGACTCATGTCCATTGAGTCGTTGATGCCATCCAGCCATCTCATCCTCTGTCGTCCCCTTCTCCTCCTGCCCTCAATCCCTCCCAGCATCAGGGTCTTTTCCAACGATTCAACACTTCGCATGAGGTGGCCAAAGTATTGGAGTTTCAACTTCAGCATCAGTCCTTCCAATGAACACCCAGGACTGATCTCCTTTAGGATGGACTGGTTGGATCTCCTTGCAGTCCAAGGGACTCTCAAGAGTCTTCTCCAACACCACAGTTCAAAAGCATCAATTCTTC